CCCTGAACCCTAAACCAATAGTAGGATACCTAAACCCTAAACCAATAGTAGGATACCTAAACCCTAAACCAATAGTAGGACACCTAAACCCTAAACCAATAGTAGGATACCTAAACCCTAAACCAATAGTAGGATACCTAAACCCTAAACCCTAAACCAATAGTGGGACACCGAAACCCTAAACCTTAAACCAATAGTAGGATACCTAAGCCCTAAACCTTAAACAAACCAATAGTGGGACACCGAAACCCTAAACCCTAAACCCTAAACCCTAAACCCTAAACCCTACTCCAAGGAACCCCCTCCACCTGGCTGTTTCCAGGAGACGGTGCAGACGCTGCGCATCATCGAAGCATGTCTGCGGGCCTGCGGCGCAGGTCTCGAACATGCGACTTGGTCTAGGGTTTAGGGCTTCAGGGTTTAGGGTTTTAGGGTTTAGGGTTGAGGGTTCAGGGTTTTAGGGTTTAGGCTGTTCGGTTTAACATCGTCGTCATGAGCTCTCTTCTTTGACGAACTAGTTCTCCGGTTTTGTCGGGTTGCTAGATGTAGGTACTGAAGTTTGAGATCTGAAGTTTGAGGTCTACTTGTCAGGTTTCTGGCTTAGCTATTGGGGTTGGGTTTGTGCGTGTCGGGGTTTAGGGCTGAGGAATGTGTATTTAGAGTTTCGGGCTCCTTGCACCAACACATGCAGACATAACATACCTATGTTAAACATACATACAAACATCAATGCATGCATGCATTGTATACATATATACACACATACGTACATACATGCATATGGGCATGTATGCATGCATGCATACATACATAACACACACATAGGCTGCATCTGTATATTGTCGCAGATGCAGTTATCTAGTACCAGTATATCGTTTGTTGGCCCTCAGGCCTAATCCCTAAAACCCTAAACCTTAAACCCTAAACCCTAAACCCTAAACCCTAAAACCCTAAACCCTAAACCCTAAACCCTAAAACCCTAAAGCCCTAACCCTAAGCCCTAAGCCCTAAACCCCTATACCGCCTCAGGTGACCATGGTCCACGCCTACTTGGTGGAGTACACCAGTGAACGCTTCCAGGCGATGAACGCTGGGTACATGGAGGCATCGCCTGGCATAAGGGCCGTTTTAGGTTCAGGGTTTAGGGTTTAGGGTTTAGGGTTTAGGGTTTAGACAATTTAGGGTTTAGGGTTTAGGTTCTTACTGTTGGGGCCTCAAGAATATAGGGGCTTTAATAACTACCTATACTATTTTGGGGGTTCCTCATTAATATATACAGTATATTGGGCCCCAAAATCCCTTTCTAAGTATCAAGGCCCCTACATTAAGTAGTGACAAGATTGCTTCGAGTTTCTATGTAGTTTACCGAGCACGGTGCCAGAACCCTGATCCTATTCATTTAGGCCCCCTCTTTTGAAGGGGAGTTGGTGGGCGTCGGGGGTTTCAGGGGCTTGCGGGGCTTGCGGCTTCAGAGTTTAGTTTTTGGAGAGTCAACACAGTTTAGGGGTTTCGAGCCCCTCATCCCGAAAGTCCTAAGACCCCTAAATGTTTTAACGCACCCGAAAACCCTGAGGCCCTAACGCTACCCTAAAGCCCTAAGAACACCAAAACACACACTAAAGCCCTAAACCTTAAACCCTTGGCTGGGAAGCTAAGGAGCGAAGGACCGCTAAAGCACAAAAAGCCTTGGCGCGTTAGTTGACCCTTGTAGTGCCCTTGTATGGAAACCCCTCTAGATCCCTTTAAAAGGGACCCTTTTGAAACCCTAAAGAAACCCCTTTCGATGCCTTTAAAAGGGACCCGTATCGAAACCCTTCTAGTTCTAGTTAAGAGGGGTCCGAGGAGCTTCTTGCAAGGACTGCAAGCAGCGACCGTGCACGCGCACGCGGGCATGTGCAAGGGCATTCACAGGCAGATAGAGAGAGGGAGAGATAGAGACACCGGAAGGATTGAAGCCAGGGAGAGAGGAAGAAGAAGAAAGAGAGAGGGAGAGAGGCAGGGAGAGAAAGAGAGGAAGAGCGAAATAGAGGGAACAGCAGAGATAAGGACTGGAGAAAGAACGACAGAAACAAATCAAGAAAGAGAGACGCAAAGAAAACGGGAGACTGACAGATTTGTGCAAATGAGAGGGCATAAACCCCAACAACAAGCGAGACTGCCACCTCAAGCGACATTGAACTAGAAGCTGTTGCACGGCCATGCAGACGGTAAGGATCGGATCGTGGGCAAGTTACTACTCAACAGCAAAAAGGCAATGGCAACACCAATCGAAGCGAATCTCCGAGATCACGCAAACACAAACTCGGACCTAATGAAGCCCCAGCAAAGGTTCCCTGTCTACAACCCAGGCCAAGAGCACGATAGAAACCTGTAGAAGGCTTGAGGCACCGGAAGGGCTTACATGCTTTCCATGGCAAACGAACTTTTCT